GTTACCTTATCATGATCATGAGTTTTTATGGCTTAAATGTGGTGTCTTTGCATGTAAATGGGTTAAACAAGTAACTAACATGTGTATGAACCTGTATAGACCTAAAAATGGAGTCTTGAACGCATTTAATTGGTAAAAGTTGGACCTTGGAAGGATATCTTCGCGAAATGCAGAAACTGCATTCTGTCGCGAAATATCCGGATATTTGCTCGTGAAATATTCGGATATTGATATCCGGATATGTGTATCCGGATATTGATATCCGGATATGGGAATCTGGATATCCGGATATTGATATCCAGATATTGCCAGACGGATATCCGCATATTGGATATCCAGATATGTCCCCGAGGAATATCCGAATATTCTGGGATTTCGTAGAACAGTAGCTATGCTGTGAGTACAGTAGGCTATTGGGGGTTTGTGGACCCTAGATTGATGAAGTTGAACTTCTATAATTAATGAACTAAGTCAGAATCATGTGATTAAGGCTTGTGGCTTTGTTAGAAGCCTTAAGACGTAAAACGTAAAGGAAAGAAGTTGTCTTTAAGTTGTATGCTTGTGGTGCATATTTAATGATATACTATTGGTCCATAACATATTGTGATACTGCTGTGTTTGGACCTTGAGATTGTGGACTCTTGGCATTGGAAAGTGAGCTTGCAAGGTAAGCTTTCGTGTCCTCGGTTTAGCCATGTTGTGGTTCCACCATGTCCCATGGGGGTATGGTTATATGCATGCTGTGTAACATGCTTTTGATGTTTTGAAAATGCTGTTGAGCTGTTATATGCTAGTGCCTTTAAGATATGCATGTGGTGTTCCACCTATACGGTAAGCCTGAGTATGTGGTACATACAACATGGTGAGGCTGTGGGTGAGGTGCAAGCGGTGTTCCTTGTACTACATGTAGGTATAGACGTATTCCTGCATTTCTCTGGCCAGTAGAATAGTTTTGACACACATGGCATGAATATCTGTTGCACTGCATAGTTTCGAGAACTTATATTGAATTACTGCTTTTGAACTTATATTGCACATGTAAGTGAGCTTGGGGTGGAAGATCCTTGAGGACCCCTTGTCTTACTGAGATATCTAGTTTAGAGATCTCACCCCACGTTTGGGGAATGCTTATTTCAGGATCAGGTAATGTGGGGGTTGAGGCCCCAGGAGGCCGGAGCTGAGTTAGATATCGATGATATTATATGCTGACTTGTTTGATGCTGGATATGCATGCTGCTTTTATGCTTTTAGCTTCTTTATGACTTTGGATTATTATGATGAGGCTTGGCCGTTTATGCTGTTGATATTGTGAGCATGGGTATTGTCCATGCCACGTAGACTTGTATTGTCTTGTTTTAATTAGAGTTGTATTAATGTATCAGGATATTGTCCGGATTACGTGATGTAATGCCGTGACTTAGATACTCACTTTATATTTATATATTGAGGTATTTCAGTAGATGTCTTATTGCAATTTACATACAGGCGATATTTTATGAAATTGATTAAGTAATCAACTTGGCTAAGTATAATGACGTCATAATTGAAAAGAAAAAGATTTTCCGCAATTTTTATTAAGCGCAGCTTAATACGATAGTATGATAACATTACCGGGTATACACAGGGTATTACATTCCTCTTCTCTTGTGGCTCCATCATGATGGTGGGCATTATGGTTGAATTGTATGAAAGTATAAGATATGTTGTATATGTGCATTCATTCACATTCATATAGATATATTCTTGATGTTATGATGCACTGATGATGTATGTTATGATGATTCTGGCCAGTGATTGGGTATGTAGGCTTCTTGGGTCATTCCCTTGAAGTTATTTCATACTTTACAAATATTTGTGCGTAAACTGGCTTGGGCTGGACCCTTTGGAGTTATTGCACACTAGGCATGTTGGACATGTCAGGATGTTGGCTATTCTTGGAAGAGTCCTTGAATAGCTATTTATGATGAGATATGATGCTATATTTATGCTGTATAATGTTATATATGCTTTATATCTTACGTGTCATGCAGGAAGTGAGCTTAAGGGAATAGAGGATTCTCTATAAACCTTGAGCTTACTGAGATTGTTGTTCTCTCACCCCTTCTTGGAGACATCATTTCAGGTACCTATCATAGTGGTGAGCCCTCCATGGGCAAGGACCAGGCACGTGGCTAATGGAGTGCTAGTTGGATATTCTATTTGATAGCATGTATAGTGTTTTAACATGCTAGAGTTATGTTATTTTGAGACCAGGTTTAATTGTGTAATAATGCTCATTACTTGTATTTGATGAGCTTATCGGAGAATTATGTAATTGCTATGGATTTATTTAGATGTATGTGATGATGATATGTATATGATGTATTTGATGTTTTGAGTTTGGGCATGGAGCCTTTATGCTTGTATTGACCCATTGAGGGGATCACAATCTGTGTGGACTTGTGAGATGACTAATTACATAAATTGTGTCTATTAGGTTTATGTTATTGAGTGAGATTATTATCTCTCAGATATCCGTTAAACAGTCGTTATTCTGTGTGTGTGACTCTTTCAGGAATGACACTTGTTGTATATCCGGTTAGTTGATATGCCTCTAGCATATATATGATTTTAAGCCAAAAAGAGAAAGAATCTGATCAATCTTGTATAAAAAGGGGCTGTAATTGCTATTAATTTGATAAATCCCAATCAGAAATCGTATCACTGATTTTCTTACAATTTTTGTAGGAAAACAAGACAAAAAGAGGTCTGAATCAACAGTACCAGTCTGAAGCCCCGCGCCACTGGCGGTGGCAGCGCCAGAAGGACTTTCCAAGGCAGAACCTCCACGCTACTAGCGTGGAACTAGCACTAGTAGCGCCAGCCATTCAAGCCATCCGCGCTTGTAGCGTGGGAACCACGCTAGTAGCGCAAGCTTACAGTTTTCTGAACAAGACTCTCACGCTATCAGCGCGAAACTGGCGCTAGTAGCGCGGGAGTTACGTGAGAAATTTTAAACAAATCGTCAGGCTGAATCGGAGAAAGATTGGACCAAGATATATGATGAAGATTCGATAAAGATTTCTAAGCAAGGGCACAAACTCTATAAATAGAGACTCAGACCCCAGGAAAAAATTGCGAGGATCAGAGAATTGAGAGAATTCTTGGAGACTCGCACTGGAGATCAGGATTCCACCGGAGTTGAAGACTGAAGACCATTGAGCTTCCTTCCTCTTCTTTTTCTTTATTGCTTTTATGAATAATTTTTATTATTTGAATTTGTTTAAGTCAGACATGAATATGTCTGGCTAATTTCTTTTTGTAGTTGGGATCACGGACCCGATGTGAATCCTTTATATTTTCTGTATTATTTTTATAATTTAATTAGTTTGTTTGTTTTAGTTTGCCTGTGTTAATTTTTTCATATCCTGATTAGAATTGGCCACTCTAATTATAAGACTTTGAGGGTTAGGACTCACAATAGACATATTGAGGTTTTAGACTGGACAAGGGTAGAATAACAATTTTTGCTTGATGCTTAATAGATTGGCCACTCTAATTATAAGGCTTACATAGATTGCAGACTTTTAATTCATTTGCTTAATGCTTAATTCAAGAGGGATTACTAGGACACTAGGATTCTAATTGGGTTAAAGGGTTGAAATCACTAAGACATTAGGGTTCAACTAATTTTTAGGGAAATAATGAATTGTCTGAGAAAATCAATTAGTTAATTATAAAATACAATATAGGAATATAAGGGAGGATCGGAGGTGAAGTGTATCCTGGCTATAGTCTTTATTCTTGATTTTAAACTCGCTTCTTATTTCGAATTAGCTTTTTAATTAATTTCTTTTATCGTCATCCTTATTTGATTTTTAATTGAATATTGGTTACCTATGAAAACACCTTTTGGATTTGTCTAACTTAGATAAAAATAGTGAAAATATTGCTTGAATTTAGTCCTCGTGGGAATGATACTCTTACTTAATCACTTTATTACTTGTACGACCGGTATACTTGCCGTGTCCGCAACAAGTTTTTGGCGCCGTTGCCGGGGACTAAAAATCAACAATAGTAGTATATGTGGAGTTTAAGATTAGATCTTTATTTTTTTATTTTTACCTTACTGATTTTTTTAGTTCTTGTTTACGCGAGGTACAATTGACCCAAACGACTTGCTCTACGAACCAAAAATTGAAAAGATCGCAGGGGAGAACAGAAGGCTCACTAAGGAGTGAAAAGAAAAAGAAAGGGTGAACAAAGCACTCTTCAAAGAAGGAACATCAACTATAGGTGATGAAATACCACATGAGGATACCATGGAGCAATTCCTCAACCCATCATTTGCACTTGTCTCTTCTGCAATCATCATTCCACCAATCCAGGCCAATAATTTTGAAGTTCATCCGGCCTTCCTGCAGCTGTTCCAGAGCAACCAATTTTCAGGGGAAGACAACTATGATCCTAATCTTCATGTTTCAGGATTTTTGGAACTATGTCGGTTTCACAAGCATAATGGAGTTAGCACTGATTCTATCCGTTTGATATTTTTTCCTTTTACATTGAAAGGAAGAGCAAAAGAATGGCTGAGGAATGAACCTGAAGGGAGCATCACTTCATGGGATGACTTGGTGGTTAAATTTAGAAAGAAGTTCTTTACTCTTTCTAAGTTCATACAAAAGAAGAGAGAGATTGACCATTTCTCTCAGAACGATGGTGAATCTTTTGGAGCAGCTTGGAAGAGATTCAAAGGCTTGTTAACCGCTTGCCCATAATATGCTCTTGAAGCAGGAGATAAAGTGAGGCACTTCTACCATGGCATATGCCCTGCTAATAGAAAATTCCTAAATGCGGCTGCTAATGGTTCATTGGTTAACAAAGCTCCAACTGCATCGTTACAACTCATTGAAGAATTAGCTGCTGAAGAGAATGAGGATGTACCCACCTCTAGAAGAGGCATTCTGCAGGTGGATGGACTTGACATCTTGATGACTGGTCAACAAAGTTTGCAGAAGTAGATGGACTTTCTCACAAAGATAGTTGCTAAGAATCAAATCTCTACCATCAATGCTGAGGAACCAGTAGTATGTGATATTTGTGCGGAAGGACATTTGGCAGCGAATTGCCCGTTGGCTCAACCTTCAGAAGTCAACTATATGGGAAACCCACAAAGGAACAACTACCAAGGTAACAACAACACGGGTTGGAGGAATAACTCAAACCTCCTCTCCTACAAACCTCAACAGCCACAACAGTCACAGATAACTGTACAACCTTGTACATCTTCAGCTTTGGAGAAACTGGTAGAGACCATGGCTTCAACCACCAATGCTTTCATTCAAGAGACAAGATCAAACTTCAAAACTCAAGAAGCATCGATCAAGAATCAAGAGGCTTCAAACCGAAATCTTGAAACTCAGATTGGACAGTTGGCCAAGCAATTGAATGAAAGAGCTCCAGGGGAAATGCCTAGTGACACTGTGATTAATCCAAGAGAGCATTGTAATGCTATCCTTACTCAGAGTGGGAAGGTGATTGAACCTCAAGAAAAGCCAGCAAAGGTAGGAAAGGAAGCACCAAAGGAGGAGGAAACAAATGAGAATAGTACTAAGCAAGAAAAGGCTCCTAATTATGATGATGTAACCTACTTTGGAGGAGAATTCAATCGTGATAAGAAAACTACAAAGAACCTTCCATCAGGGTTCAGTCAACCAAATCCTTATGCAAAGACTCCATACCCTCTTCGGCAAAAGAGAGATAAAGAGAAGCAGCAATACTCGAAGTTTATGGAGATGTTTAAAAAGCTTCAAATTAACATTCCATTCTCCGAAGCTTTGGAAAACATGCCTCTTTATGCAAAATTCATGAAAGGTCTCTTATCAAACAGGCATAAGCTCAGAGAGATGGAAACAATAGCTTTAACTGAAGAGAGTAGTGTTGTGATCAAAAAGGGATTATCGTCTAAAGTCAAAGATCCGGAGTGGTTTAGTATCTCTTGTACGATCGAGAATGTTAAAGTAGGGAGAGTTCTATGTGATTTGGGAGCCAGTGTCAACTTGATGCCCCTCTCTTTTGCACAATCTTTGGGGATTACAGAGCTGAATCTACCTTGATGTCTCTATAATTTGCCGATCGATCCATAAAGATGGCAGAAGGAGTGCTGGACGATGTCCTCGTAAAGGTAAATGATTATATTTTTCCAGCTGATTTTGTTGTACTTAGTATGGAAGAAGATGACAATATGCCTTTTATCTTGGGGAGACCGTTCTTAGCAACTGCTAGAACATTAATTGATGTAGAGCAAGGTGAGATGATATTTATAGTCAATGATGGTGAATTCAAAGTTAATGTGTTTGAATCCATGAAATATCCTGAAGATAAAGGACATTGCTTCAAATAGATGTTATAGACGAAGTAGTGTTGGAAAATATTTTTGAGAAAGCAAATCCTCCTACCATTTAAGATCAATTTGCAAAAATCCTACCGTCATCTGAACTTTTGAATGATGAATTGCTTACTGAAGTAGTGAAAGTGTTGGACGTTTAGCAAGGGTACTAGTCGTACAAGTAATAAAATGATCAGTAAAGATCGTTCCCACGAGGATTTGTGTCAAGAACTGACTAACCATATGTACTTGAGTTGAATCAAACAAAAGTTCATAGATTGCATAGATTTCTTGTCACCAGAAACTACACTGAATTGAATTAAAACTTGATAAATAATTAAAATGTAAATTATAATGTAAACAAGTAGTCAAATGTCATTTTCCCTCAAATATGAATTTATAGATGAACCAATTTCCATTATGAATTATCTACCATTTGATGTTGATCAACCTTTTTCTTATCATCTCAAGATGTAATCCCTTACTACCCTGATAGACACATTAATCAGAAACCCCAATCCCTTGGTGATTCCTTTTTTAATACATGCATTAATTACTAAGGTCTTAAGAACACATCAGAATCCTAGCATCAATCCCTTGACTACTAGAACACTGATGATGAAGTTGTCAAAATAGAGAAACAATGTAAACATGTATGTTCTACACTATTCCTCAACATGAAGAATTAATCAAGACAACTTCATACAATCACATAATAGATAAACAAAACATCTAATTAACCATTCATAAATTCAAACTTGAGTTCCATTGAATCAGACTACAAAGGACTCTACTCAGACATAATTGAAACACAAACAAGAGAAGAAAGATAGATCAAACTCCATTGTCATGATAGTTGAGTCTTCAATCTCCAAGTACAATTACATAGGAAATACTAACTATTACAAGAACTAATCCTAAAGAATTTGGAAATTCAGAGAAAATGAGGAGTCAGATCAGATCTATGAAAGACCTGATCTGATCTCCCTTCTCCTAGTGTGATGGGAAAAGTCAGAATGAGATATGATAGATTGGATCTGATATCTGGAATCTGTCAGAATGTGAAGGCCCCTTGTCCTTTTATAATTTACAAATTACAACTGAAAACTGACATGGGCGCTAAAACTCTCATTTCTGGACGTTTTAGCGCTCAACCTTGACGGATGCCCAACTGCTTTTAACTGTCTTGGGCGCTAAAACGTTCAGTTTTGGGCGTTTTAATGTTCAGCACCAGCATCTTTTGTGCAACAGGACGCTAAAACGCTCAGTTTTGGGCGTTTTAGTGCCCAACACTTAGAATTTTCCCGTTCTTCAGAATCTTCTTCCTTCTCTCTTTTGCTTCTTGAGCTTCATTTCCCTACAAAAACAATGTAAATTTTCAACATAAGCTTCAGAACTTGTATTTGAGAGATTTCCAGGACATTAACCTATTTTCCATCCATTTAATCACACAAATTGATATTAATTCATGCTTAAAAACCTGATGAACTAAGGGTTCATCAGAAAGCCATAGACTCACCAAACCTTCCAACATGACATAACCAAACGCCCTTGCTCTCAAGGCTCTCCTTGCCTGCAGCAATCAAATATAAGGCGAGGAACTGGCTGTGGAGTCACACGGAGACATCACCACTGTGACACCCTGTATATATCCGGTAATGTTACCATACTATCGTATTAAGCTGCGCTTAATTAAAAAATGCGGAATATCTTTTTCTTTTCAATTATGATGTCATTATCATTACCAACTTGCTTATTAATCAATTAATAAAACATCGCCTGTATGTAATTGCAATAAAACAGCTAACTGAAATACCTCAAAACATAGATAATAAAAGTGTGTCTCTAGAAATCACGGAACTACCACAAGTAAGCCGGACCAACTAGCAGGTTATACAACTCCAATCTAAAAGTTCTAACATAAAGTGTCATGGACAATCCCCATGCTCACTCAAATAAGGCAACACGCCCAACATCAGTCTCGACAACAACATAATCATAAATAGCGGAAAACATAAACAACATCCACATCCAGTCATGGCAGCAAAACATCATAATATCATAATCAGCTAAGCTCTAGCCTCCTGCCGCCAGAGGCATCAGTCACCATACTACCTGAACCTGAAATAAGCATTCCCCAAACATGGGGTGAGATCTCTAAACAAGAAATCTCAGTAAGACAAGGGGTCCTCAAGGATCTTCCATCCTAAGCTCACTTACATGTGCAATATAAGTTCAAAAGCAGTTTATCATCATCAGTTCTAAAATAGTGCAGTGCAGCAGATAATCATGTCATGTGTGTCAATTCTATTCTACTGGCCAGAGAAATGCAGGAATAAGTATACGTCTATTACCCACAATTAGTGCAAGACGCCACTTGCATTCACCCCGAATCACCATATCGTATGACGCCACATACTCAAGCTTACCGTCAAGATGAAACAACACATGCATATTAAAAGCCATTACACATAAAGCTCAACAGCATTTCAAATATTCAGAGCATGTAACACAGCATGCATACAACCACACCCCCATGGGATATGGTGGAACCACAACATGGCTGAACCGAGGACACGAAAGCTTACCTTGCAAGCTAACACCCAAAGCCAAGAGTCCACAGCTCAAAGTCCAAACACAACAGATTCACAATCTGTTATGGACCAATATTATATCAATAATAATGCACCACAAGCATATAACTTAAAGACAACGCCTTTCCTTTACGTTTTACGTCTTAAGGCTCCATACCAAGCCATAAGCCCTTAATCACTTGATTCTGACTTAGTTCATTACTTACAGAAGTTCAACTTCATCAATCTAGGGTCCACAAACCCCCAATAGCCTACTGAACACACAGCACAGCTACTGTTCTACGAAATCCCAGAATATCCGAATATTCCTCGGGACCATATCCGGATATGCAATATCCGGATATTTCATTGTGCATATCCGGATATACAATATCCGGATATCCAGATTCCCATATCCGGATATCCAATATCCGAATATCCAAATCCCATATCCGGATATTTCTCGGGCAGATATCCGGATATTTCACGACAGAATGCAGAAACTGCATTTCGTGAAGATATCCTTCGAAGGTTGGGTTTTTACTGATTTTAAACACTTAAACATGCATTTCTAGTTGTGTTTGACCAACCCCAACATTAAGTTATCATCTTTTAGCCTTTACATACATCAAGCTTCCATTTTTAAGCATAAAAACTCAAGTTCAAATGTGGTGATCATACCACAAGCCAAAACAGAGGATGGAGATGCTCTATGGAGTTCACACAACAACTCCCAAGTCTACCTCAACACTGTGCACGAAAATGCACACCAAGAAGGGTCATTTCTTCACAAAGGTTGACACTTTGGAGCCCCAAATGCCAAGGCCAAGGTTCTCAACACCCAACTCACAAACTCAGCTCTCCACTGACTTCATACAGTGTCCAAGTACTCAGAAGATGCACTCTCACACCCTCACAATGATAACCCTCAAGTGTATACAAGCTCAAAGATGCAAGGAAACAAGTAAAGGTGATCACTTGGTCAAGAAAATGGTGAAGAGAGGCCAAGAACTTCAACACCAACTGACCAGCCACCAACACTCACGGAGGATTAGTTTTCTAGGGTTTTGTGCCCAATGATTAGAGTATATATAGCCACTTTCAATTAAAACACACAGTATTAACTTTAATTGCTACGCTTAGCATTTTAATCCCAAACTCAGGATTCTTAACCTACTCAATTTTACAAGAATTATCATATTTTTCTTATAATTTTCTGAGCACCTTTCCGGTACGTGCTTTTCATAGCCAGTATCAGATTCTGGCACCAGTTCTCATTATTTGGACTTGAAACTCGTTTTACAAGTCCTACATATTATTCTAGTAATTATCATGCACTTACTTTAATTTTCCGGGATACTTTTTCGGTACGCATTTATACCGACTAGCAGAATCGGTATCTGCACTTTTTCTTCCGAAAAACGCCTTTCATCATTCTTACTCACTTATTATAATTATTAGAGCCTTATAATGATTATTCGGGTCAATTATGGAATCATTTCCTATTTTCTCATAATTTATTAATTAAAATTCCTTAATTAACGGTGCGGGTTCTTACATTCTCCCCACCTTTTTAGGATTTTGACCCCAAAATCAGAAACATACCTGGTCGAAACTCGGGGTACTTCCGGAGAAGCTCGTCCTCACACTCCCAAGTACACTCCTCAGGAGTTCTTCCTGACCATTGCACTTTGACCATCAGAATGATCTTGCTCCTCAGCTGCTTCTCGCCACGATCGAGAATCTTTAGTGGTCCGACGGGAGTCTTTAGGTTCTCCCGAACCTCCACATCATCAGGTTGCACCACGTGCGAAGGATCCGCTATGTACTTCCGAAACTGAGACACGTGAAACACGTCGTGGATGTTAGCCAGGTTCGGAGGCAAGGCAAGCCGGTAGGCAACAGGTCCTACTCTACCAAGAATCTGGTATGGCCCAATAAATCGCGGGCTCAGCTTCCTCACTCCGAGTGCCCGTCCAACACCGGTAACAGGTGAAAGTCTCACAAACACGTGCTCACCCTCACTGAACTCCAGTGGACGATGCTTGACATTGTAGTAACTCTTCTGGCGATTCTGCGCCTGCTTCAGCTTTTCCCTGATCATCTGGATCTGCAGGGTGGTATCTTGGACAAAGTCCAAGCCAAACAACTCACG